GCAAGAATGCCTCCTTCTTGTTGTATTACAAAGAGAGCCCAGCAACACTAAGGATTGGATGCTTATAAAATTCGAACTGATATTTGTCGCCAGAGATAATTGGTGTCTGGCAGCCCTAGCACAATCGTTACGGTGATTGTCTTACCTTATGCGGCCTGACTCGTACTTAAGCAGAAGCATGAGTAAGTCCAGAAAGGGCTTTTTATTCACGGGATCGTACACTCAGTACATGGATATGAGCTATCGCCCATACCTCGCACCACCGTGGTCACGTTTGGCGTCCGTCCTGGCAATCTGCTTCTTGATACATATCCATGGATTCCGTGCCTGAGTCTCGTACTCCCTGTCAACGAGGTCACGCAGCCACAAAACTATAAAGGCCCAGGGAATGTTCAAGGTGTCACTACTCTGGGCAGTGCGTGATGATGGATTGAAATCTCTACGTCTCTGTGTGAATACTGAGATTACATTAAAGATTTTAGACCTGTCCTCAGCGAATGCTACCAACCGAGTTTTGAGCATGTTCTAGATAAACAGTTCATCTCCCCAGCCTGTTGGTGAAGTCGACTCATCTGGCTCATTGCTTGCTCAACTCACCAGAGTGACCCAATGATCTTAGTCATCGAGTGATCCAGCAAAAGTCAGATTGATCGTTCTGAGTCGTGTCCCTTCCTCCAGGCCGGCAACCTCCAGGCCTACCATGCCGGCCTTAAAGGCTCATTCATGTCCCCAGGGAATCAACAGTCCGGTCATGGTTCTATTCTTGTCACGTTCTTGACACGCGAAGGCGGAATGGGATTGCGTACACCGCGAGCTAGCAGCGGACTTTTAAAACACGGCTAGGCAGCTGAATCGACATGTTCCCTTGTTCTGCTCGCGTTTCAGAGAAGAGTTTAAAGCTATGGCATGACTCGATACCATCGTCTCATGTTCGTCTGACAGCTGTAAGTCGCCGGTATGTGCGGCTGGGGTGGAAGGGTTCGCTTAGTTTATACGCTATCCTGTTGCAATGCATTTGCTAGGGGTTTGCGATGTCTAAGCATGGCTTCCGAGTTAGTTTCATAATTGGATAATTCTTCAAAGAGTGATAATACTGAGATAGTTGACAGGGTATGCCATTCCAAACAGCTAGACACTCGATACATTCGAGGGAGTGACTAGTATCAAACTTCAGAATCCCTCCGGATCTCCTTGTTCTCAACGGTCAATCAAGTATAAAACAGACGATATCCACAGCACAGCACTGCGGATTCCACAATCCATATCATTTGTACACATCAACTCATCATCATTCCCCAGAACTATCGGCACTACCGCCCCCTTGTCAGTAGATCTCCGAGTCGTGAAAATAGCTAGATCCTCGGACTGACCGCCGTGCAAGGTCTCCAAGAAACTCTCAAGATACAACCAGCCCTACAGAAACATATCATCAACATGCAGTTCTCCAATATCACTATTGCTTTCGTCGCCGCCGTCATGTATACCGCCGGTGTTAGCGCGTCTTGCCAACAGATCAAGTGCGACAAGACCTGCGGCTCAGGCGGTGCTAAGAAGAACTTCTGTGGTTCTATTCAATGCAACGATCTCAACGTCGGTCGAATCACGTGCTGCGACGATGTGCAGTGCACCCAATAGAGTAATTACGAACGGACAGAGGGGAAGTACATATGGCTTGCCAACAGGCACGGGGATCTGCAGCGTACCTGAGCGGGGCCGGAATCATTCTCAGGGCTGTCTTCCAGTTTGATATCAGTCGCATTCTGCAATAACGCTAGATCAAAGCCTAGAGAAGAATAATTTTGGATGATATACACGGTTTGACTCCGGCGTTATCGATGCAATATCACCTAGCTAGCAGAGCACCAGTTTCCCCAAACGCCCTTTGTCTAGTCTTTCCATACCTCCGTCAAGAAATCTTCAACGGTAGTGATTCAAAGATCGTAAAGAGGCCTGATTCTCACTTCTATGTTTAAGACACTCCACGTAGCTATTACCTTTTGCATAAGTCGGGCTTCTCGTCATTAAACGAAATAAGCGGTTATTCTTTGATATCAGTACTTGTAGCCCTATTACGACCGTTCATAATCTTACTTATCTTCGCATGATTGATTTAGAATTTTCTTAAATCTTAAGAGTCATTTCTTTCTCTCCTTTGTTTTTATCGGAATAGAATACGCCATATCCGCAGGCAGTGGTCCTGCGGGTCAGGCCTTGGTCTTGGCTATTCATGTTGGGTCGTAACACAGAGTACCTCTTGTAATTTGCCGCACCAATGGAAGAATCAGCAGAGGACGAAAACTGGGCAAACAGCCAATTGCTAAGGGCACTTCATGAAGGGCTGAACGCCGGAGTGCTGTGCCGCTTGGATCCTGAAAGGCCAGGCAGACAAGTGTTGGCAAATATGCTGCTGAACCGGCGAATTTCGATCGGTTCTCCCTTCCAACCTCATTCAATATTCCTTGTGTCTCAATCAAAAAAAAGTTTCTTGACGTTAGAATCGTTGCAGATATTGTCGCTCCTCTCTTTTTCTTCTCGCTCTCTGCTCTTTTCTTTTTGTCATATCCCGTTATTATCTGAGCGCTCCATACACAAATATAGCTGAAGGCTGAAGACAAAGATGACTGCAATAGCATCAGTATCATCGCCATTAGATGGCCGAAACAGAAACGGTGAGGCGAGCGAAGCCGTGGTAGAATCGGCGCCAGCGTCCGCGACGAACAACGCAGACAACATCAAGCAGTTCGGCGTCGCCTCCTCGGAGCTGCACGGCTTCAAGCTATACATGGTTCTTATTGGCGTCTGCTTCGGCGCCTTTGTCATGGCTCTCGATGTCTATGTCATCGGAACGGTTCGTCGCCCCGGCAATACACACAATCGCTCTCGCTTTTTCTGTCTCTCCTCCTTCCCAGTCGGCCAAATATCTGACTTTGCTCTTGCCAGGCCATTCCCTCCATCACATCCGAATTTCAGAACACATCACACATATCATGGTATCCAGCAGCCTACACCTTGGCGGTCTGCTCGCTCACCCCCTTGGCGGGCAAAATGGCCAGTGTGTTCTCGCTCCGCTGGGTCTATCAAGGCTTTTTCTTCGTCTTCCTCGTCGGTAGTGCCATTTGCGGCTGGGCATCTACAAGCGAAGTCTTCATCGTCGGCCGTGCCGTCTCGGGCATCGGCGCAGCTGCGGTCACCAGCGGAGGGCTCACCGTCGTGTTGACCATATCATCACCCCAGCGTAGGCCGTTATACATCGGCCTATGTAGCAGCTGCTTTGCCCTGGGTCTGATTCTCGCCCCCATCATCGGCGGCGCCTTCACCGAGAAGGTCACTTGGCGCTGGTGTTTCTGGATCAATCTACCCGGTGGCGCCGTCACCCTGCTCGCCATGTTCTTCTTCTTCAAGTTGCCGCAACGAGAAGGCAAGCCAACGACCACCATGAAGAAAATTTTGAGTCTGGATCTCGTTGGGTCGTTCATTTTTGTCCCCGGTATATTCATGTTGATCCTCGCCCTGCAGTGGGGCGGGAATTCGTATCCTTGGAAGTCGGCAACGATTATTGGCCTTTTGGTTGGATCAATCGTCATGCTGTGTCTCTTCGGCATCTGGGAATCGCGCTTGGGAGACTCGGCCATGATCCCTGGTGTGCTGGTCACAAGACGCACCGTCCTGCTCAGTGTCATTTTCTCCTTCTGCCATCTTGGTGCTCTATCCGTCTCGTCTTACTACCTCCCGGAGTGGTTCCAGGCAGTCCAGGGCGCTAGTCCCTTTGAGAGCGGCATAAGGGTGCTGCCGTCCGTCATATCACAAATCGTAGGAACGATTTGCGCAGGTGGAATTGGTTCGTACATTCCCAATCCCCTCGCTCACGTGATGGCCTCTGACGCGTCACCACAGCCCTCAAAATCCGTTTTTACAACCCTTGGTTCTTTGTCGGGCCCGTCTTGATGTGCACCGCAGCTGCTCTATACACCCAGGTCACCGTCTCCAATACCCCATCGAGCCAATGGATCGGATTCCAGGTCATTCAGGGCCTGGGCGTCGGCTTCTCCATGCAGATGCCATCTCTAATGGTCCAACTAGCGCTCAAGGACCGCGCCGACCTCCTGCCCATCGGCGTCTCTCTCAACATCTTTGCCCAGTTCCTTGGGGCTACCGTCACGCAGGTCATTGCCGGTGCCATTTTCCACGCGCGTCTGGAGAGCCAGCTCGCCTCGCGAGCTGCGCTGAGTCACGACCAGATACAACTACTTTACCGGAGCGGTATCGTAAACGTACGAGCCATTGTGGACAAATACTTTCCCTCGCTTTTTGACCCCATCATGGAGTCGTACAACTCTGCCATTGCTCAGACACACGTGAGGCCCCTATCTCTAACACCCGACTTCGCGTTTCCAGGTTCGCTAACATGTCGCTGAAAAGTTCGTCGCTGTTGCCTCAGCTGGTGTGGCTTTTTTCCTAGCCTTCGGGATCGAGTGGATTAGAATAGAAGGCTCGGCTATCAAGTTGGGCAACCAGGATAATGTGGAAGCGGCAAACCCGACCAGGGAAGAGAAACCATCAGAAGCTACGGGACATTGAAGTCCGTTTCTCTGTTTCTGGGTCTCTCTGCAGCACGTTCTCTGTTCTGGGGAAGCAAATTTGGCTCCGATATCCTGGTTGCGACACAGCTACCTGGCGGTACAGTTCGCGAATGATTCTTTGTCGATGCTGGGCGGATAAAAAATGGCTGGAGGTTACAATAATTATTAGACATGCGATACACCTGATGTACTAAATACTTTAGAAGCCCTTTAATAGGGCAAATCTCCCCTTAGAAATGTTAAACAACGACTCTTCCTGGTACTATCAGATTTGTTCAGCGAAAATGTCATCCGAACAGTTGCCCGTTCAAACTAGCGATGTAAGTTGCGTATTTTCTTCAGCATCCAACCTCTCATTAGCTACATTTTACTATGATCCTTAGTATACCTTAGTAAGCCGACAACATAACGAACAACCACTTATCCCAGGCCATGATCTAGAAACATGATGACAGTTAGTCGCGCTTTGCATCGTTCGCGGTTCTCTCATCCTCGACTAATCTCTGTAGTTTCTCCAGCCCAAACATCTTCCAAGTCTGCCAATCAATGACCCATTCCCCAAACAGTCGTCATGCCCACCATATCTTCCTCGACATACCACCACACCACAACCAATCCGACCGCCCGAAAAGCCAGCCCTCAGGCTTCAGCGCATTCCCAACCAGCTCCTCCGCAAAAGCCTCCGTATCCGTTGCCCCCTCCTCCTGGCTCAGGTGTACGTATCGCTCATACAAATCGCTCATCTTCGCGTACAGCGAGCCCGGCGAGAGACTGGGCTGCGGCTTCTCAGCGATCCTGGACTTGACGGTGCCCGCCACGACGACCATGACGCGGACCCCAAACGGTCGCAGCTCCTGCCTCAGAGTGCGGCTGTAGCTTGCGATGGCGCCCTTGCTGGCGCAGTAGACCGATGCGAACATGTACGGCGTCACGGCGGCGCAGGAGGAGATGTTGATTATTAGGCCTTGGGCCGCGATGAGATCGTCCGCGAAGGCTTTGACCATTGCCATGATGCCGAAGACGTTCGTGTCGAAGTTGGCGCGGACGTCTGGGATAGATAGATCGGTGGCGGGGGAGATGTGAATTCGTCCACTGCGCGAGCGGCGGCATTAACAAAGGGTGCGATTGTATGAAGGAATGAAGTGTTAAGGGTGCTGCTTTACGTGTACTTACGCGTTGTTGACCAGGATATCCAGCCTGCCTCCCGTTCTATCTTGGACTTCTGTATGGCAGACAGCTATGCTCTCCTCGCTCGCCACGTCCAACTGCAGCGCGTCAAAGCCTTCGGCAATTAGTTCAGCGATCACATCTTCTCTGCGAGCTGTAGCGATGACATAGAGTCCTGATACACGTCAACGGCTCTTCATTCATCAGATTGTTTAGTTTTCCTGCGGACAATACCTTGTTTCCGGAACGCTTGACACAATGCATGACCTATACCGCCCGGGGAACAGCTAGTGATTTTGTTGGTTGATCTGTGAGGGCTATCGGGATCATGCTTCGCTCTTACCCTGTTACGAGGACTGTCTTCTGGCGAGAGCGCGGACGCATTGCCTCATGTGCATGCTGTGGTCATGTACAAAAAGCGAGTGATGAGCCCAATTGTTTTGATCTTTGCGAAAATCGTACTTCCTAACTTTTGTCCTTCTCTTCAACAACTTTGGTCAACTAGATTTCGCATTATCGCTGCCCGCTATGTAGTCATTGTGTTCGATGTTGTTGGATAGCAGTCATACGCTTCTCCATCTACATGCCAGGGCTTCAAGTGGAGATCATCGGGAGCCAGAGGCGGCGAATTTTTTATTAGCGAAACGTTGACAGGGATGAAAAATTCGCCGGAGCGGCGTTTTAATACGTAATCCCATGGACATTAAGTTCATGTACGGAGCACAGTATTGTTAAATGATTACTTAGCTAGGATAAGTCATAAATTGACTAACAAATTTACCCCGGTCTCTTTCCGTAATCATTTCACACCTCATTAACTCATGTCATGATCTGGATTCCCTACACACGCGCCAACGAGTACAAATGTGTTGTCTTTTGCCGCTCGATGCATAGGCGGGTCGGTTGATTGTGATGCATACAGTCGGTGATATCCTTCTGTACAAAGTATCTTGTTAGTATACACGTAGGCAGGTCAGACCTTTCGGTCGCGACGAGGTCAATATCGGAGGTCTAATTGCGCGTATTGAGTGTGTAGGAGAGGAAGATCGTGGGCAGAGCCCGCGATCCCTCAGTGGGTGGAAGTAGGTGGAAGGGTCCGTCTGCACGGGCCCATACTGCCTACCTACCACCCCTACCTAACTGTCTAATTGGGCCCTTTTCCGCCTCGTAATCCAACATATCTAAGTCCAACCACCATTGTCACAATAACAACCCGTATCTAACTAGAACAATAGCCTGAGCTGTTATTGCTTTAAGACTAAAGCAAACTTAAGCTAAAGGTTAAGTACCGCCGGAAGGCTCGGGACGAGTCGTGCGTACCAGTCCTACTACCAGAAATTGAGTGCTTCAAGGAAGGACCGTTACTCCCAAATTTCCTCGGGAGGGTAAACGACAATCCGACCGAGATCAGCGGCTTATAGTCGAAGCCATTGTAAGGCCCACCAAACGTAATTGTGTTCTTTCCCTTCTGCAGAGGAAGTAGGAGAGGGTTGGACAGAATTACACCTTTGTGTGTGTCCTTCTGGTACAATATGTGCACAAGACTGGTATCTCCGTTGACTACAACACTGCTAATGCGGCGCAAGTGCCACGTCCCATTGATGCGATCAGGTTGTCCAAATAGCTGATCGCCGAAGCCCATGTCGTCAATATCTGCATGCATTAGCGACGCTTTTATTGCGACGATATGGCAGCTTACTCTGGTGATAGAAAGATACCCATTGATCTCGACCTTGTCCTTTAACTTCGATGGTAACGGTGCTGTCATTGCCGTATATACCAGTGGCTATGACATTGCCACTACCAAATGTCTTTATTACACCGGTCAGCAAAGCTCTCCAGCGTCTCTCTAGTACTCATGGTTGTCAACTCACAGCTTCCTGAAGATGCGCAGACCCAGTGATCTGTGCGTATCTGGAGGTATATGTCTTTACACGGATGGGTTTCCAAATGCCAGTCTTCCTACGTTGAATCATTAGCCAAAATCAGAATCGCATCCTGACTTTCATCGACTGACACATCAAGGTCGTAAATATCATGCCATAAAACTTGGAGACTTCCGGATTTCTCGTCTATTGCTATTGAGAGCCACACATGGTGACATGGCGGCTTTCCCAAAGTGACTGCATGTCCCATTGATCAACCATGTAAAAATATATTGTTGCTTAGAATCCCTTGATTCTTCACGAACGAGAACCCAGATCGGGTGCTGAACGTCTCCGTGTATGCGGGGGCCACGAAAGATGGCTGAGACCAGGGTCCTATGGAACTCGACGATGACGGTAGTCGACTTGTCAAAGCGACTGAGACGCCAGCTAGAATGACCCAAGCTTTAGTTGCTAGCAAAAAGAACTCAAGTAATCGAGCAAAGGTTCAAAATTACGAGGACGCCCTAAAATTACCAAGCATGATCCATCCTACGCTCAATTTATTCACACTTGTTATTCAAACCTCCTAGATCCTGGCATTCCTGGATTCGCTAGTCCGAAGCCGCCCAACGAGCCACGGTATAATGCTAGCCTTCACTTGCCACTCACAGTGCGGCTCAATCGTTGCCGAGGGTTTTTGCTCCTCAGGTTCGATTACTCGACAGTGCAGTCTTACGCTGCTCTGTTGAAGCAGATGGAGCAATCGCTATAAACTGCAGAGTATAAATGGACCCGAAATTCTAGCCTAGAGGCTCAATTAACTACGATCGAAAGAAACCAGATGCAAGACTAACCATAACCCAAATGAGAAGAATAGACGACACAATTACTCAATCCATCCTTCTGTACTCATCACATCCCTAGTCCACTTGTCCAATCTCTCTGCGAGTTTCTCGTCCTTCGCCGCACTACTCTCCCACCATGGTTCACCACACCGGTGATAGATATCAGTGTACATACCACTTTGCTCCGCCTTCATATCCTGGCTTGCCGCACAGAACAGACTGTTCCACGAGCCCTTGTCGGCAGACCAAAACATCTTGAACACACGCAAGGCCGATAGGATGTTCAACACGCCCTTCTCGGACGGCTCTACCGACGTCGAGAGGTTCGTCTCAACAAGACCAGGATGCACGGATGAAGTCCAAATTTCGCCCTCATCATTCTCTGAGCCGGGGCCGTAAATCTTGTGCAGGGTTTTGGCGTGCAGAATGTTGGCGACTTTACTCTGACCGTATCGTTGCCATGGGCCTTCATCCTTGAGGTTCAGGTTGTCAAAGTTGATGCCAGTCTTGGGTGCGCCTAAGTGACCTGATGAAGTGAGGTTGACGATGCGTACACTGCCGGGGGGGAGCGTTCTTGATGTCTTGAGCATTACTGGGAGTAAGTGCTCTGTGAAGACCCAGTGAGACAGGTAGTTGGTCTGCCACTCGGCTTCGTGCCCGTCTTGTGTTATGTTAAACGGTGCCGCCATGATACCTGCGTTGTTGACCAGGCCATGTAGGGTTGTCTCAAGGGTAAGGAAGTGCTTGGCTGCTGCGATAACGCTAGTGAGGTTCATAAGATCCATTTGTAAAAGGTCGATATTGGCCGAGGGGTGTGTTTTTTTGATGCTCGCAATGGCTTCTGTGCCTTTTTCTAGGGATCGGGAACACATGTAAACGTGAGCGCCGTGTTCTGCGAGGTGGGATGCGGTGTAATAGCCCCTGTGATGTGGAAACATTAGTGATTTGGACTTGTAGATAAGCTAGTCGAGGGGAAGACTTGCATGCCGGAGTTACCACCCGTGACTATGAAGACCTTGCCATCAAGATCAGGAAGAGAGTCGGGATGGAAGCTCATATTGCAAAAGAGCCCTTGGTGAAGTTGAGGTATGGATTATGGAGTTATGATGGTAAGAAGGAGATGATATAATGTGTTTGATTGAATTGTATGATCTGGACGACACAAAGACTCTGCGTCGGTGCTGCCATATTTATATCCATTCGATTGCTCAATTTCCAGGATACTTGGATCTCGGATCTTCTCGCAGGTATCAAGCGTTGTGAGCAACCTGCATGATCGATAACCAATCATGCAATATCCGGGTTGAGGGTGAGTTGATGGACCAATAGGAAAATGCTGACCGAGGAAGTGAGCCAGCTGCATAAAATATGGGGCTTCCTAGTTGTCAGCCATGGAGGTGAGCAGGTTGCATGACACTTGACCGGCTCGAGTTGGTATCTGGTGGACTGACCAATGATATCTCATCAAAGCATCAACTAGCCTCTGTTGTCTGTGCCTCAATTGCTGACATGGTCGACATCGATTCCCCCGTTCCCGAGCGCCAGACTCGTGATTTCGAGCATCCTACATGATCCTCAGGGAATTTGCATCGTTCATCACCGGTTTCGTGGTCCGATAGAATCACGATGACAACGGCACCATGCATTCAACTCTCCTCCATGCCGCAGTTGGCCGAGGTACGTGCCGCTCGGACATATCATGATAGGCCTTGCTCACCGGATTTAGGCGACAAGTGGACAAGACGACTGGACAGGGACCACAAATGCCGCAGCAAGAAGAAAAGCACAGACTAGACTCAACACAAGAGCATACCGTAAGCGAGGCTCACGCCAGGTACTCAGTTATCGAAATTAACAGCAGAGTAGGCAAACGTAAAGCCTTAGCAAATAAACCCGAAGCAGTCAATGCCGCAGCCAAATCACTCATCAAATCAGAAGCCGTGGTAGAATGTTGGGATATCAAACAGGAATCCTTCTCTACAGTCCCAGCATCCCGTGTCAAAAATCTATATAACGCAAGAAATCCCCTTCTCCCAGAGAGACCCAAGAGGAACCAACTCCACATCATCTTCCCCCTCTGCCCAGACCACCTCATCACACTCCTCCAATACAACGCCGTACGCGCCATGGCCGCCAACCGCACCCTAATCTCAGACATCCTCACCACACCCCTAGACTGCGCAGAAGAAATCTTCCACGTCGTTCCCTACCCTAACAACCCTGGACTTCTCCCCTCAACACTCCTACCCACTATCACTCAACAGACAGTGCTTCACAGTGACTGGATCGATATGTTTCCTTGTCCGCAGGCGCGAGATAGTTTGATCCAGGCCGCTGGCACTTTTGATGAGGACGACCTGTGGGCAGACTGCGTCGGGGGACTATATGAGGGCTTTCCTGATGATGAAATGGAACGACGTGGTATGATTGCGTGGTCGCCGACTTGGGATATCTCGGGATGGGAGATGTCGGAAGGGTTTATGAGGAAATGGGGGTGGTTGTTCAAGGGATTACCGGGGCCGTTAGAGGCGACAAATCGATGGCGGATAGAAAGAGGTGAGGAACCATTTGCTCAAGACAACTATCAGTCGAGCTTTGTTACTTGAGCTTTTGTTGGCCTACAGGTACAGCTCGGTGCTATCACATGAGCTCCTTGACAGCTGATGATTCTTATGAAAGCATAAACTGCTAGCAACAGGATAACATTCTTGAAAAACGTTCAGCATCAAAACGCGTAGATCAAGGTCTTTAAGAAGGCTTATAAGTTGAATAACACTGATTGCATACCTGGAGTAAGATCAATTGGTACATGTAAACTTAAGACGCTTTGGCTGTATAATATGGTTCTCGCCATCGGCTACTCTCCCAGTCTTGTCTACGTCCTTTCTCATGCCAAAGGCATCATTGGAGCGATACTTTTGCTTGACCGGATAATACAGGACCTTGGTTATACCAACAGCCAGCCTCTACCGAACAGCACCGGATATGATGCTTTAATTTAGACTTGAGTTCATCTGTTTCCTATTAGAGTGTGACTTGAGCTCGTGTCTGACTCTGTTTCATAGGTTTCTTTTTAAACATGCCAAACTTTCTTTTCATTGTGTATCATTCCACTCAGTACTCTAGATCCATGACGGTAGACAGTAAGTGGTTTCAATTTGGGTATCTGTCGGTGGGAAAACGTGCTGGCCACCAGCCATTACCCATCAGCGCTTTCGGAAGGCTGATAGCTTGTGAAGCCTTAAAGCCCGACAACATAGCTGTATGGGTTTACCAAAAACCGCACCAGGCTAATGCAAACTAGGCTGATGGGTATATCCGAGACTACCTTAGGTTGGAATGCAATGCGAGGTTTATTAGCGGACAAAGATAAAGCTGCATTATCGTTAGTGTACCTTGCATGCGTCACATCAGTCTATTCTTGCACTTTCCCGAATAAGGCCACATTGATAAACTCGTGTTCGCAGGAACGACAAGGCGGCATTTGCGTCGTATTGTTCGCGTACCCTTCGCCAAAGAAGAGATAGATCGCAGTAACTTCAGCGAAACCCATAAAACCCCTTAGCTCAGACTAACCAACATCTCGCATGGCAGACCTGCACTAGATACGGCTCAAACCCATTTCTCTAGACATGAAGTGATGATATGAAAGGCTGTGCTGTGAGGGATGGAGTGGTAACGTTCTGAATGGTCACGATCAGGTGATGCACCCAGTGTCTGGAGGCATCATTGATATTCAGACATCACCACAATCGAGAGTAGTAGGCTATAAAAGTCTTAGAACGCTCGTGAAGAGGATTGCCATGATTTCCGCAACTTCCTCATAAGTTATCAGTTATTAAGGAAGGGTTCACACTCGAAACCATTCCCTCAACTAGCAAAGGGCCTGACGCGTCTGAAACGCGCCGCGCCCAGATTTAGCGGCAGTAGTGGAGCATATAGCAGACTGCAAGAGGCACTCCGTTAAAACCTTTCTTTTTAATAGACCTACGGCTACTATATATTTTAAGTATTAATAGCGCGAATTTCTTATATATATAAATAAATATTATAATAAATCCTATATATTATTATAAGGAATTATTTATAACCATAGGTAATAGGGGATATATAAGGGCGGTTATGCTACTTATTAAAAATAAAGTAGCTAGGGGTATATTTTCTATACTACTTTTTATTACTAATTAATTTCCTTTTTTTTTTAACTAACTTATTATTCTTTAAGTAAAGTAAGTAATTTACCTATGCCCCTATAGTTACTTATTAGTAACTATATTTTACTTTATTATATTTTATACCTTTTTTTATTTTACTTTTTTTATTATTATTTAATTATATACGTAATTATAAGTATAATATTCGTAATTTACTTATTGTAAATATTAATTAGGTATAATTAGGTAATTCTTTTTTATAATTACTAATATAATTATTATTAATTAGTAATTAGGCAATTTTTTACGTAATTACTAGTATAGTTTTTATTAATTAGTAATTATACTTTTTTTAAGCTAATATATGCGCAATTATAAGTATAATTATACGTACTTACCTATTTATAATTTAATATTTTTTATTTATTTTTTTCTTTAATATCGACTATTTATATATATATACTAATAACTTCGTATAGGATACTCCCTTTTTTAATAATTACGTATACTATATAATACTTATAATAAGTACTTAATACCGCATTCTGGATTATATTAAGGGTATATAGCTCCCAATAGCCCCTATATATTAGCCTATAGTATACCCTAACGACCTTATATTTTATAAAATAACCTCTTACCTCTTTATTAATACATATACCTCTATATAATAAGTTCCTTATTATACGGATTTTTATATTATTTATAGATTTTTTTTTTTTTTTTAAAGATTTTTATAAGATTTATAACCTTAGTATTATATAAGTTAGTATATACTACCCTATACTATTTTATATTACTATATTAACTTATATAATTTAATTTTAGCGTTAGATTAAGCTTAACCTTAAAATTACTAAAAATAGCCGTTATATACTTAGAGAAATTACTATAATTTATACTTAAGTTACTAATACTATTTAGATAACTGTATATAGTAATACTAAAATTAGTACTAAGTTATATACCTATTATAAAGTTAATAAAAATATATTCGCTAATTATATTACTTTTATAAGTAGGGGCTACTCTAGTTATAATTATATATTTAGTATATACGAGTATATACTTATTATACCTCTTATTATTATTTATACGTTACTATATACTACTTTATATTTATTTATAGTTTATTAACGGTTTATATTAGCTTATAATACGCTTATTAAGATCGTAAAGTATAGTTATAATTATAAAAGTCGTAATAAAGTCCGTATTAGCGCTTTATTTAAGTTTCTAAATAATATCTTTATTAAATACTTCTATATAATAATAGAAGCTTTTAAATAAGTAGCTAAGTAGGCTAAAAATAATAAAGAGGGTATATAAAATAGTATATAGGATTATGGAAAGAGTTATTAATTTATATAAACTTTAAATAAGGAGTAATTAATTTAATATTTTTATATAATATAATATAGAAGTTTATATAAGTATATATTAGGATATAATATAATTAGGTTTAATTTTTAAATAATAAGGCCTTTATAGAGTCGTAGGGTACTTATTAGCTATAAGTTAGAGTATATATACTTAGTTTAGCCCATAAAAGGCCGTAATTAACTATATAAAAGCTCTTTTTAAAGTTTAATATTTTTAATAAAATTATAGAACTTTTATTTATTATATATTATCGTTATATACTTTTTATCCTTTTTAGTATTATAAATCCCTATAAGCGTCTATATTTCTATATATATACTTATAAAACCTTATAAATAAAAAGATACCCCTATATATTGCTATAATTATATATAAATATTTACCCCTTATTTAAAAAAAAAAAATTTAGTTTTTTATTTTATATATTACTACTTTTTTAGAATAATACGACTACATATTAATTTTTTACTATATCGAACGATAATTATTATAAAATTAGAAAGTAATTAGACTTATAATA